CGCCCCAGCTGGTGTGGCTCAGTGGTTGAGCGTTGACCCATGAACTAGGAGGTCACGGTCAGGGCACATGCCTGGGTTTCCCGGGCGACCCCCAGCAGGGGGCGTGCAGGAGGCAGCTGGTCTATCTTCCTCTCTCGTGACTGAAGTTCCTCTCTCTCTCTCCCTCTGCCTTCTCTCTAAACATCAATACAAACATATCTTTAAAAATTCCCCGAGACAGCTTTAAAAATTAGAGCAGTTAAATGTCTAAAACTGCATTTAAACCTGGGCGTTTTAAAAATAAGATTTTAGTTTTCCCGGGGAGCACCTCATGTTTGTGATACTTGGGCCTTCCGGGGGGCAGTTTACTCTCTCGCGCCCCCCCGGACCCCCGCCCTGCTGTGCTGGGCTGTGCTCTGCTCTCAGCTTCCCAGGAGGGTCAGGAAGGCGGGGCCTGCTGAGCTCTGTCACATGGGGCGTAAGATGCAAAACTGTAAAGCGCAACAGCAGAGGCGGCGACGAGGCCACTTTCAGAATAACCTTCCAACTCAGGAAAGAAGCTTCCCCGCGGAGGTAACAAAATCATGAAGTTCATTTTCTCTACCGAGTGGGTTTCCTGTCAAATGAACACCACGTAACTGATAGAGAGGAAATAAATGGGCCGCGTCTCGGGGGCCTTTTTCCTGGGGACCCGCCCTGCGCAGACCCTGCTCTGGGGGCCACAGCCTCCGGGCGGAACCAGGGAGCCGGCCACCTGGGAGGAGTGCCCGCCCCCCACTTCGGACCACCCAGCACCGCCCGGGCTCAGGCGCAGGAGGCCTCCCCACCCACTCCACGGCACCCGGGGGTGGGAACAGGCCTGGCCGCTCCACTCCTGTCCCCGCCCCCAAAGCTGCCACCCGGGCTCAGTGCCCGCTTCCCTAAACTAGCGCTGGGCAGCAGGAGTCCTCCGGCCTCAGTTTCCCCTGCGGCAGTGGGAACAGATCCCCCCCACCCCATGGTTCTGTGGGGAGTGAGGTTTCTCGGTGAGAAAGGTGGCACAGCTGTGAGCCAGGCCGGGCCAGCCCTCACCTGGGGGAGGGAAAGGAAAGAATCTTAGAGAAACACCTGGTTTAACCTAAGTGTAGCTTAGTGTCTCCACAAGAGGGAATTACAGGCCCGATGGGTGTTCTGCGAGCAGTGTATACAGGTGAGAGTAACAAAACAGCCGGCACGCCAAATATGTCTATTAATTTCTGTTGCCAAACAAAGAGGAAAACGGCACATTTGGGACTTTCGAGAGGAGAGGGAGCCGTGGGTCGGCTCCTGAGGGCAATCCTGGCTTTGATGGGTGGCGCGGAGATGTCCAGGCTCAGACCTGCATTGCGGGCTCCCCAGTCACCCTCGGACACAGGCCCCACTGCTCCTGCGAAAGGCCCTCCAGGTCCCAATGGACCAGGAACAGTGGGAGTCCCCGGGCAGTGGCGTCCTGGCCGCAGTGAGTCTGATGTCCTCACTGGTGGGAAATCAGGGGACACTGGTCACTCGCCTCTGCTGTCAGGAGATGATGCCGCCCTTAGTCCCATGAGATTAGGTCAGAGGAGAGAGCCTGGGACATGTCTGCTTAGGGGTCTTATTGGGCAACTTTGCTGTCCCTATGGGCTGGGTTCTGGAAATGGGGCCCTGACAGCCCACGTGGGGGGCTGCCTGCTCCTGCTCCTGACCTGCCTTGAGGAGGATGGGGAGGATGGGGAGGGTGGGGAGGACGGGGAGGACGGGGAGGGTGGGTTCCGCTCCGCCCTGCGCCCGTCTGCTGCCCCCACACCCATAGCTGCCCTCGGCTGGCCTTGTGTTCCGATCCATCTTTACGTTGCCCCCATGCGCAGGGAGGGCAGGGCCTCTGGCTGTGTGGGGCCAGGGTCACTATACACACCTCTGTCCTATACACACCTGCTTTCTGCTTTGAATCAGACCAAGGCTGATGCGGACGTGCCCCTGGCTTGGGGAGGTCACCCTGAGACTCTCAGCGCTTCAGTGTCAGAGCCTGTGGCCTAGGCTTACGTCTGAAGTCCTGCAGACCATGACCACGCTCAGGCCGCAAAGCCGGTGTGGCAGGCAGGGTCCTGATCTAATGTCCCGGGGGCCCTGTCCATGGCCGCAGGCGGGCTCCACCCACGAGGTCCTAACGCAGCCAGCGCTGTGCCCATCACCGTGTTTCCTGCTTAGTCCCCGTCCTCTGAGGAAGTGGGACGGTGCTCCCTTCTGCTCCCCAGGAATCCGGCCCGCTGTGCGGCTAAGACTCTGTTGAAAGGCCATATGAACAAATTCAACATTCATAGAACTTGGCCGCAACCTCAGCCACTCCATCTAAGTGGTGTTTTCCGCTGACACCCTTAGACGGGGACGTCCAGTTAAATCAACACGAACGTGGTGAGTCTGGGGAGGCGGGGGAGGGCCCTGAGCCACCCGCGCTGCTGGGAAGGTCAATGGTGGAGGCCCGCGACTGGGCACCGCCCGCAGCGCTCCCAGCACCCCGGGAGGACTGGCGCGCCCGCTCTGCTCGGGGGGAGACCCGGGCGGACTCCAGGCGCGGCTCCTGCTCCTCAGACCCAGGGAGACGAGGGGAGCCCCGGGGTAGCCCCCTGAGAGAAGGAAGGGCTTTCCTGGGGCCCAGAACTAACTCCTCCTTGTGCGGGGGGAGGGTGTCACCAGGGGAGCCTGGGAATGAGGTGTGGCTCGGCATGGGAGGGCCGCAGCCCCCTCGGGCCAAGACGAACGGGGCGGAACGGGGGTGGGGCACTTGCACCCCAAGACCCCCTCTCAGACGAACTTCACGCCAGTCTGCAGCCTCCCCCGTGGCTCCTGCAGCCTCCAGGGATGGTTTTAAATCTCTTTCTGGGTGACTTTCTCATTAAACCCTTAACACTGCAGCCTGGGAAAGACAACGAACAGGACAAATTGTGCACAAACAATACTAATGAGGTCGGGGACGCGGCCCGTCACACACCCGCGGTGCACACAGGGCGTGGCGAGGGCTCCCAGCTGCCCCCTGCCCTCCAGCTCGGCCCTCACACCAGCAGGGCCCACGGCCCGCGGCTCCCTGAGTGAGCAAGGCAGGAACCATTTGTGCAGGTCACCACGTAGGTGGAGTGGAGTCAACGCGCCAATAAACCAGGAAGATCCATCAAAACCAAAACAGTTGTACTTGGGGGGCGGGTATGGGGCGGGGAGCAGAGGGGCAGAGGGTCTTCCCGCCAAATCTCAGGACTACGGATGCTCGCTGCGCAGTAACCACGAAGAGGCGACGGCTCTGTGAACGTGAGCACTGCCTAGGAGGCTCCCGTCCTCGGTGCAGGT